GGGGGGGGGGGGGGGGGGGGGGGGGAACTCAAAAACATTGTAACATCAAAGCATTAGCAACATTAAAACAGATATATCATACAATGTGTGACACTACAAGTGTTTTACGTATTCAAACTAGCTCATGAATGGCACCTGCTTTAGATCATAAACACCGGCATCCAGAGAGGCATTCGTGCCTTGCCGTTGCTGTTCATCAACAATAAGCTCTCGGTTGATGCACATTAAAACAAGACTACACAGAACCATTTACTAAACGTGTCTGAAAGTCGAAACTAGCTCATAGATGGAACATTCATCGTGTAGAAGTTAATGAGTGCCTTGCACTTCCCTGCCTCAATAGTATTATAACATACGAAATCATGGACATCAGAATTAGCTTGTCGCGGTATCTTAAAGTCACAACAAAATTTAAACCCAAGCACTAGGCTCCAAGGGTCCTCAAGAATGTTACATCTTTGTCGTTTTTACCATAAATTAGATTTCATCAATGATTTCCAGAAGATCATCAACCTCCTGCCTCAAGGCCGTAATTTTCTGCTGGATTGATGCAACCCGGTTCTCAACTTCCCGTCCCCCAGATTTTTTCTCATAGCAGTCCACAACTGTAGAGTGTTTCAGCATTAGCTTCTCTTGCAATTCTCTCTCCTTGGCAACCAACTCCTCCACCTATAAGAAGGAAAAGTCAGCATCGTATCTCTCAGATGTGACTCCCGTAAGGTAACAATTTCCTAGATACAACTTTAGCAGTTAAAACTATTAGAAGAAAAGTACAACATACACTAGATATGGAAAAGGGTAAATCCAAAAAGTAATTCACAATATGACTGTCATCTCCGCTTGTTAAGTCACAATGGTATACCTGTTGGGGTGAAATAGCATGGAGTTCCCCAAAAAGTTGATAATTCTAGAATTCACACATCACACACCCCCCCGAGTAATTGGCCATTCAGCCATGGCCAATCCACCCAAGGTGTAAGATTGCACTAGATTTTACTTCCCATTTATTTAAGCCACATCACTCTTGGGGGTGAGGGAATAGGGTACAATATTTGATAGAAAGTACTCATACCTTGGGCAATATCTGCACAGCTTGTGAAGAAGATTGCAATAATATCAACACAGGTCTCAACTCTTTAGAAAGCTCTTTCAAAGAACTGTCGGCTGATTTGCGAGCTGATTTGCAAGCTTGGACATCCCCTGTCCTAGAGAGATCACGTAAAGATGCTTCTAGCTTACCGTGGATTGTTAAACACCGGTTGATGATATTCAAGACCTGTTGAACAGTTGCTTGTACCTGATAACATGGATAGCCAAATTATAACAGATGGAGATTCATCATATAATGTAACTAAATTGGGTGTATCTGCCTATGCCAAATCTACCTACCTCATCCCACTGCAGTTTTGCCAAATAAGCAGTAGAAGACTTCGAGATTGTAAGGTCAGAGTGCACATATATAACGCAGGCAACAAAAAGGAGAAAAAACCCAGAAATCAACATCAATGGCTCCCTAAGCAATGAAAGGTTGTTGAATTTGTAATTGACCTGAAAAGGCATGAAATAATAGTCCAAGACAGTATTGTTATTCCAGAAGCAAAATGGACAGTCAGAAAAACAGGGAATAAGATGCAGCATAACACCAGAAACAAGAACACGGGAAAAAAATAACAACTGGACAGAAAAGTGAATGCAACTCCCAATGGAGGAAGAATGTGGTAAAGCGAGGGGGAGAGGAGGATAAGAAGAACCAAGGCAATATGCCAGTCATGTGGTTTTTATAAAGAGCTGCTTCATATGCTACAATTGATAATCTTTTTCTCAACTACTGACCACGAATAATTTTTGCTCTTCCACATATAACTTTGCAAGGATATTTCCAGACAGCAGGCTGATATCACTTAGGATCCAGAAGTAACATGGCATGAGCTGCTTCTTTATGCCTAGATTGTGGGCATAATCTGGTTCAACAGGAGGAAAGGGATTAAAGAACAATTACATTCTTTGCTTAAAGTAGGGGATTCTGTTTTAAAGAGTTGAGTCCTTTCTTAATCAGTTGTTCATATCCACCTCCATTGTTATTGTACTTGGATGTTCCACAGGATGCCTATTGCTCACAACTCTCAGAAAATAACCAAGATCTTGAAGTTGATATTTTGCACAGGAGAACATCAAGGTGGAAATTAACAAAATGGAACTTCACACAATTCATAGAAACAGCAGTGATTAGAGAAGCTTTGATAATCCTACTCATATTGAAAGACAGAGGATGGAATTTATTGGAGTTCATAGCACAGTTTTCAAAAGGTGGTAAGGCCTTGCACCATTTTACAGTGCCATCATGATATTGATATTGAATATAATAGGTCAGACAGAAACCTCTCAACAGAGACAGCCAAGTTAACCAGACATAACAACAGATATCTGAAATATTTCAGACACTATTGCCACAGGGGAATGAGGATGAGAGAGACAGAGGGGGTGCGGAATGAAGATATGCCGGAATCCCAATGGGATATACTCCAGACAAGCTTGATAAAATAGCAACCTAGTGCACGAGCCTCTGTCACTATGAGATCTGACGAGAATCGGAGGGGAGGTAGTTTTCATGACTCAAAACCTTGATTCCCAAGTCGCAATGGAGCAACCTTGTTGCTGCCCTGCCCCCAAATGCTATAACAAGTACCTTTGCAAAATCTTTTCGTACTCTTACCTTTGAAGATAATTTAGAAGAAGGTTTTGGATGCTATTTTAGCAAGCTTTTAACCTTTTTGTGATTCAGAACCAGTTCCTCTCTCTGTCTCTCTCTCATGAGTCTCAACATTATTAATATTTATGATCACTTGTTCTGTACTTCTATCATTTGTATCTGTCCATCTGAAACAAGGTTTTCATGTTATGCCAACTGCAATCTTTGTTTTTTCACGTACTAATGGCCTTTATAATTTGATGTGATGTGGTTTCGCAAAGGAAAAAATAATGCAAGAACATGTTAGTTATTAGAGTTTCACAGTAGTTTTGATTAATATGTTGTTGTATTTTCAATTTTAGGGTTGATGTTAGTGGCTAGGAAGGAGTTATAGGGCCATATATGTTATTATAATGAGCTAAGGCTATTCTGGTAATTGTAGCGGATTTTGAAGGTTTTGGAGATGCTGTAAAAGTGGCTCAAAGCTGCTACAAGAAAAAAAAAGCCTGTAAGAAGTGAAATTTCTGGGTTTTGGATAGAGCTCGGCTCTCTTTTTCTCCCTTCTCATTCTTTCCTTTCTCTCCCCTTTTCCCTTCATCCTTATTCTTCTTCATCATGCTCCAATTTGTCTTACCTACTGATTCTGTATTATCTCATTGGTCTATTATCTATTCTCAATCTCATATGTTCTTCCACTTGGCTCACTTTCTTCTCATTCTGGATTCAAGGCCCTACTGGATGTTAGGGCTCCCCACCTCCTCCCATTTTTTTCTTCTCTCAAGAATCCTTACACCTATCACTTTTCTTTCTCTTCACATTTCTATCATCTTTTCCTTCCTTTTACCAAACAGAAAAATTAAAACAACATACACAGAGCTTCAAATTTTCTGCCCATGAAGTGTGCGATGAAAGTCCTGACCTAGCAGCAGTTTAGTATGCCTAGAGTCAACTGAAAGAAGGCTGTCCAGCAGGTTTTCAGTAAAAAGCTTTGTGAGAGACCTCTAGTAGCACATCTTATTTTCACATTTACTCATCAAACATATTCATTAGTGGAAGAAATTTGCTGCAGAAGTGTTTATTGGTTTATGAATTTCAACATTTTGTTTCCATGTCATATGTTCATAAAATGATTAAAGGCCAGGTTACATCATAATTGCCGGCAACTAGTTCATTTCATGCCAATATCTCATAATAGTATAACTTTCTAGTTATTGTTGAAGTATAACTTTCTAGTCATTGTTGAAGTATCAAATAAATTGTGTCCAAAGTCAATGAAGTGTGCTCTTATAGATTTGAGCATGCCTTACACCACAGGGCTCGTCTCATAAGCCAGCATTTTTAGCAGTTGACTGTGCCATTTAAATAGTAAAAAGGAGTACCTGAAAATGCTGATTATGCTCTGGCACAACATTTGTCTTTTCTAATACAACCACTGGCCTACCAACCATATCCAAGTGGGAAATTTTTGTCTGCCAAAAAACATATGGACAACAAATCCAAAAGCACTTTTAGAGGGAAAATTTCGAACCAGAAAAAGAATAACATAATGTTTTAACCTCTTCATTTTGCAATACCTCTTCCCACTGTTTCACAGCAAATGGAACCGAAACAGAAATGTCTCTTGATCCTTCAGGCAAAACAACCTGTAGTCCAAAAAAATGTCAACGCTAGAAATAAATAACTCTTTAGCAAACAACCTCATTGCCAATTCATACTAGTTAGGCTTCACAAAAACAGACAAAACCATAGCCATAAGTACAACCCGAAAAAGAAGCTTATGGTAACAATTCAGTAAATACTAATTACAAATGATACAAAATCAGAAACATGTAAATGATTATTTCAAAATGTGCTATGCTACCAAATCACACAATTGGCTTGACTACTGAGATAATTGGCAGACCTAACCAGTGCACAGTTGAGCTAGGTCAAGCTCTTGAGACCAAACTTGAATTGAGCCAAAGCTATGCTTAGCTGAGCCCGAAGCTTGGCCAGTCCACAACCTATAGATACTTTTGACCTCTAATGTATCCTATAAGATAAAATAAGGTTTCCAAATTATATGTGCAAAATTAAATTATGGTAATTCTCATATTCATGTAAACCTATCTGAACAACACAGGCATGACAATCACAAAATACATGTCTCATGCAACTAGCCTAGAAATCTACTGCTAGAACTATTTACACTACTTCATTATGGTTAAATCAAATGGAACTAACGCATGCCAATGACAGAGGATTCAAACTACAGGCATCAAGAATTAGAGAACTTTCAAACTACTACCTTCACAATGAGATTTTCAATGACCACCTCATTTATTGGGCAACCAAAAGTGATGTTGAGGAAACGTATTCCCCTTGACTGAAACAAGAAGTCCTGAAGTGGCAAGCCGTATCCAATTGTGAATGAAGTTCTCCAACCACCAAACATTGGATACCTGGGTTCAATTTCCAGTAGCTTCTGCAATTGGAAAGAATACACGTGAAATATTAGAAACAAAAATAAGAATGTCTTTCTTTGAATAAATCCAAATTTCTACCTTTGTTGAATCACCCCATAAATTAGATGTTGAGATATTGCCAATTTCATCCCTATAGTAAATAGAATGAGCTCTTGGTGGTAGTTTGGCAACAAGATTTCTGAATGCTGATGCCCCTCTGACATGGGGCCTGGCCTGATAGTCCAGCCTGGCGTATTCAAAATATGAAAAATTAAGCTTCTGTATCACATAAAAGCCAACAAAATTAACATAATCCTACAAAGGAAATAATCACATACCTGGAAAATTCCCCAGTGATATGTGCACCTCCATGGATAAGGTTGTAATGCTCAGTAACTTGCACATTGCCCCAGTGGGAAATCTCTATCTCTCGCACCAACTCTTGAGCAACCGCAAAGGGTTGATTGTTCACAAGATGAATTACTATTGGTGAAAATGAGAATGACGGAAGATTTTCATAGGGGCCATATTTGATCTCTGAACCAGAAGCCCTGCTGTTTTCTAGCTTCGTATAAGATTCAAATTGTCCCGAGTGTTTAACAGTAAGTGACTGGACCTTCACAACATAAGGAGAGAGGTAGTATGCACTCTCCTGGAATGCCACGCGCTGAATTTCAGCTTGAGTGATTTTCTCAGGAAATGGTCGTAATGTATGGGTGAACACGGCCAAAACATCCAAGGTTAAGCTTTCCCCTTTGCTCAGTCCCTTCAGTAGAGAAACTGAATGCCAAGTCAATGATGGAGGCATTCCATCAGGGTGGACAACTTGAATGGGGAGACTGACCGAAGAACTTTTTGTTTTTCCTTTCCCTTCAATGGTTGATGCTGTCAAATATGCTATATTTTTTGCCTGGGTATCTGGGAAGGCCAACAAAACCTCTGACACCGGATCAGTTCCAGCATTTTCTACCTGTAAAGAAGCATAACAAACCTCTTGACGAATGTCATGTTCATACAAGTACTTACACATGCCCATACTTAAAAGATACATATAAATATATATGCAAAGAGAAAAAGGGCAAAAAAGAGAAGATTTAATTTACAGAATAAATGCAAGAATGGTTTAACTGTACATAAATATGTCCACCAGATTCACCAATAAATGCAAAAAATTTGGCATCTTTCCACAATCAATCAAAAAATATTTGAATGAACCCGAAAAGCATTAATCACCAACCTTCAGTGTCGAAGTGATGCGTACTACATGCGATGTCAAATCAATCTGCAACAACACGTCAGATAGAAGTTAGCAGCGGGCAAATGTTAACATCTAGGGAAATCTGGAATAACCATTCGCCAACAGCTAAGAAAATTCACACAAAAAGGACTTAGATATGCAATTTCTTGGTAATGACCTCCAATACGACCCCTTCGAATTATACTTTATAGTTCATGTACAGTGTATTTAAAAAGAACTATGCTGGCAGAAATACGATTTATTTTCCTTCCAACTACGCTGAAAGCAGTTTAAACTATGTCCAAAGTTAAAAGCCTATAACATTCAATCAAAAAACAAATGGTGAGACAATATAATTGGTGCATCAAAATTCATGTCCATCAATCAATCTGCATCCTTTGCAGAGTTCATATGAGAGGTTCAAAATTCAGCACTACGGTCCCACAAACCATAGTTCAAATCAGCTCGAAAATGTGGGGGGAAAAGGGACCAGAATTGAGTTAGATCGCATCTTCTACTACTAATCGAATTATATTCATTTTGGGGTCAACATAAAATCAAAGAAGAAATCGAAAGATCTGAAAAATTGCAAAAAAACGAAAAGCAATCACAAACCAGAGGGAGAGAAAGCATACCCGTCGATCAACCTTGGAGAGGAGTAGATCGGAGAAAGCAGGTGCGAAGAGTAGAGCGAGAGATAGGAGGAGCAGATCTAAACGAATTTCCCTCATGTTTCGTCCTTGGGATATCAGGAGGAGCTATGCTTCGATCGGTTCGTTCGGTGCCCTGACCCTGACTGGAGCAACTACTTCTCTTCGTCTGTCACAGTGTAGCGTTTTTACTATTAATAATATTTTCGTGTGTTTTTTCGCTGCAAACGGCGCCGTTTCTTTGGCCAAAAACAGTCCTTCTGTAGCATTGGGTGTCTTGACTGAATTTTCGCATGTTAGCACAAACAGTTTCATGCCCAGGGCGGTCCAAAGCAAATCGAGGGGTAAAGCGAAAATTTTACGTGAGAGCTCATTTAATATTTTAAAAAAATAGATTTTGTTAACTATTATTAGACGTTTTATAGAGAGTTATAGTATGATTTATTTTTATATTTTAGTGTTTTGGGGATTGGGCAAAATTAGATAAAAAAATTGTGTGCAATTATGAAATTTTAAAGAGACAGAGTTAGAGATAAAGAGAAAAAACCAAAGCAAGACAATGAGAATTTGAGGGAGAGAAAAAGTTGGAAATATGTGATAAGAGTAAAGGAAAAAATAGTAAAAAAGAATTTGAGAGAAATTGCTACTTTTATAGTTAGAAATCGTTATTTTTAAATTTTTTTAAAAGGTTTTGTTATATTTTAAAATTTTATATATGTAAGGCATTATATAGACCTGTGAAAATATTGTTATATTTTAAAATTTTTTATAAAATTTTAGATAGATTTCTAAAATATATTAGGTCTTATACAAACAGGATTCATTATCTTTGGAGGACTTTTAGGAAGTTTAACATTTTAGAATTATTTATTATTTTATTTCCATGTAATTATCATGCATTAGAATATTTTTAATTTCATAATTATTATAATTAGATTGCATCGAGAAATAAAGTACATATGTCCACCCTAACTATGTGTAATTTAAATTTTAATCAATAAAATTCTCTCGTACCATTAAGGTTCGCCAAAAAAAAACTTGGTCTGTTCAAAAGGGTCTCAAAACATAAAACTAACCTAATGACTGAAAATTAAATTAGGGCTCTAGGAGACTATTTTAATAGTTAGGCCTGCTATGTCTCGTTTCATTCAAATGATCGAAATATTTGTGTATTTTATAACAATTGTAGTATCTGTTTGCATCTCATTATCGAGTTTTTGTCTATGGAACCGATTAAGTGAGACAAATTAATTAATGGATAACGCGTAAAGAATAAATGTAATATGTGTTACTCCATATTTTATGCATTTTTTAAATTTGTCAAAAATAATACATGAACCGTTACAAGAGATATTGTCATAGTAAAGATGTTCAATGTTATAACGTGGGGTCGCATAATTTTTATTTTTAATAATTTTGGCATTTAATATATAATAAACATTAAATATGTGTTATTTCATAATCATACTATATGAGTGCAATTGTTCAATGATAAAATCCATAGGAATTAAAAATATACATAGATCATCACGGCTATAAGTACATATTTTTTAACAAACAGATCCGCACATTCATTTGTATCTCTTGTCTTCTCTTCCTTGAACCACACTTTTCGGAACATAATATATTATTTCATTACTATTTTTATATTATTCTTATTTGTTTTGTATGTTCTTCATGAAAATTGTGGTATTAGATTATCGACTATCAGTATATATTCATAATTTTTTGTTATCTTGTTGTTAAATTATTTTATTATTTTTTAACTTTTTATAATCCATAACTTGTTTATATATGTAACTTTCACCTACTGTTTTGTTGTGTTTTCCTTTCTCTGATAATAACTTTATCTAATTGTTTTTTATATTAATTAGTTTTTTTATTGTGGATCCTTTATAAGAATGAACAATTTAATTAGTTGGTGTTTTTGTATTGAAATGAGAACAAAATCGAGTTTGAGATAAATAGAAAATGTGTTTAATTTATTTTAACTTGTGTAACAGAGATATACTTATTATAATCTTTTTATTAAAGTGTAAATCTTTTTTTGTCCTTTAATAAATATGTATGTGTGATGTATATTTGTGAGGTGTACTGCACTTTTAAACCTAAATTCTAAATTTTATTTGACTTAATCTTTTAGAAGTTTTTTTGTTAAACTAAATTATAATGAATTTTAATTTTTGATCTATACTAAATTATTAAACTTTTAAAATTTGGGACTTTTTTATGTGTGGGCCTAAAACCCATGCTTTTTTCCACTCCATTGTTGAGCCGGCCATGTTTCATGCACACATAAAAATGCGAAGTATATACTCAAATGGGAAGTAGTAATAAAATTTAATTTTACTTGATGTAACCTACAACATCCTAATTATACATGCAACAGCCTTATCAATCAGATAAGCTTCAAATTATTGACAAGAAAATAAAAAAAAGAAGTCAAATTCTATTTTCTCACAATTTGCAAGAAAATTCTTTTCAAAGAGCATTTATAACCGATTACAAAAGAGATTTCTATCACTATAATTGATAAAAGTGTGGTATTTTATAAGAGAGAACTAGCTTTATACCTACACTAAGGAATAGGTAAAAGAATCATGTAAGTGGTTGGAATATACACTGATTGTGATAAGAGAATTCATCAGAATTAAATAGACATTAAAAGGGGAGTTTAAAGTAAGTCCTATTGACTCAAGACATTTACTGATCAGATTTCAATTGCACGAGGATTATGCAAAACTCTGACTTGAGGATGCCACACTCGTAGGTAGGGGACTATTTATTTCGTTTCTTTAAATGGTTTCTTGACTTTGTCTCAAGAATTGAGTTATTCATATTTTCCTTGGTTAACAAAAATTATAGTTTTTTCAATATTTGCGGGTTCCTTAATTTTCTTTCTTCCCCATAAAAGAAATAGGGTTTAAGATTTAGGGTTTGAGTTTGGGTTTTAGGGTTTAAGTAAAAATAAAATAAAATAAAATTTGGTGATGCTAGTTTAGTGGCATGGGGTGGTTGGTGTTTGGGGAGAGAGAAATGTTTGTGGTGGTTGGTGCAGAACTTTGTTCCACCATTATTAACAATAATTGATGTAAGATTAGGTGATATTCGATAATATTGAAAATGAAATACTAAAAACTGAATACTAAATTTTAATAATTGATTAGATAAAAGCATTTGATTGGTACAAGAAGATGCTGTTTTAAAATTATTATTATTTTTTTAATTTTGCACTTCTCCTCTTTCACCCCACCACCATTATCCCCCCAACACACACACACACGCACACTCACACTCACACAGAGAGATTAGTTTAGAATAATAATAAATTAAACAGTAATAGCATATAAATTCAAAAAAGAACGTTGCTCCATGGCGGGTTACATTAATAATCCCAGTAAAAATTCACATGAGCAAGAACCAAATGTTGGGAGATACAATTCACCTTGGTCGACCTTTCTGTGGATAAAAGAATCAGTCTGGCAGAGTAAAGACCCTTTTCGATATGATGGAGAAAAAGAAAGAAGAATGAAGTATAAATTTGGTTTTTACAATATCTTATAACTCAAAAAATGACTACTACTGTGATGGTATTACTTGCAATAGCTCGATATTCAGTTCAAATGTAACTCCTGGCTGCAGAATTAACATAACCAAGTCAGTAACCGTCATTACATGGGACTTCATAAAGTGATATATGAGGTGAGAACCCAAAAATATACCAATTTTCACCCACATGTTCAAGAGGGGGTGAATTTTGAACTTCAAATGGCTTCATTTTCTCTACTTTGAGCTCAAAGTTAAATATGCATTCTCCAGAATTATTAAAGGGAAAAAAATTCAAAAACAAGTTGATATGTAGCCAGCAAGGCATTATGGCATCAACTTACAATACTAATAAACTGTTAAACAAAATAAATATATTATGAGGTAACTTTTAAAATATATTGGTATGATCATTGTTAACAGCTTACTGGAATCTCATTCATCCCTTTTTTGCCGTATCCTGCCTCTGGAGGAACAAGTACAGTTCTCTGTACAACAAGAAGAAAGATTAAAGGTGAGCTGATAAGAAGTGAGTTGACACAAAAATGTATTAAAAAATACATCATGCACAGAAAAATAAATAAATGAAGTCATGCAGAATGAGCATGCAGAGACAATAAAGGAGGATATTCTACCTTCCCCCCTACTTTCATCCCTTCGGTTATTGTGTACATGGCCGTTGGGGGCTTTGGTGCAGCTTGTGCGGAGAACAGACCATTTGGATTGTCCACAAATTCACGCTTTCGTTCTTTTCCGGGGAGAGCTCCAACCTGGAACTCATAAGGCTACTTGGAACACAATGAATCATGTACCATTTAATTATACATTTATCCAAAATTCAACACATTGATCCAGTGTTTATAGTTATGCTAAGAGATCAATAGAGAGTAAACACCTGTGCAATGATGCGATTTCCAGCCAAGAGTTTAGATTCTCGACTTGACACTGCTGTAATACCATGGTATAAGCAGTCGAAATGCACCTATAATGATAGACGCCATAGAAAGATATAAGTTGCAAAACCAATGCATGAAAACACACAATCACTAGATTACATGGCCTCATCAAACCTGCACTGTTGATCCTTTTTCAGCTACAGGGCCCTTTCCCTCAACAACATCATAGTATTTCAGTCCATCAGCTACTAGGAAAACAAGACCAATTCATAAAGGATAATAAGCAAAGAAGAGTGGAGACGTCTCTTAACACTGTTTGACAATGTTCATAACTTTGGCTTGGGAATTGAGTACATATGAAATAATGCACATTACTCTTCTAACTAGTAAATTTCATATGATAAAAACTCTGCATGTGTATTAACCATATGCAATTTTTGCAATGTCATTGTAGAAGTGACTCCTCAAGGACAAAGTGGGCACCAGCATCTTGTAAAATGCTAGGAGAAAACTTCCAAAATATTAATGGAGCTATATGCTCAATCGAGATGCTAAAGCACAATATTTTCACTTAATTATTGGTCATATGCAACAAAATATTTACTTAGCAAGCTGATTAATAGAAAATTAAAGTTGATTTTGTAAAGATTTCTTCGGTGAAGATGCTTTTAAGAAGGTCTTTTTTCTAACAATTGGTGATGAAGTAAATAGATCGAATAGCTAATCATAGTTGTAAGCAATAGCACATTCAAAAAATCCCTGTCGAATTGCACATCCATTCACTTAGAATCAGGTTAATCATGCCAGCTCACAGCATATATATGTAGTCAAACTACTAAGGATTAGCATGCATCACAGGAGAGGGTATGCATCACACGAGAGGGAGTTGGTTTTGTAAAATGCATCTTTTTTGAAGCACTCGGCATCATGCACTTCTCCTTACCCACCTATCAACGTATTTTCAACAGCCAAGGTAGCTGTTATTATGATAATTTCCCCTTTTTTGGCTGGCGAGGGTGTCTAGATACCTTAAGAATATCCAAATAGTCTATCAGGTATAGCACAACTGGTTATATTAAACCCCAAAAGCAATTGATTTCATGACTTACCAACCCTATAACTTCTAGAATTGAACAACTAGAGATATTTGCAATAAACATATTGGAGGTTGAACTGCAGTTCCTGGGTTCCATGACAGTTTCATCCTCAGGGAAGGAAAATTTGATACACCACCAGGATTTGGCACCCGAGGATGCTTACAGTGTTTAGCTCTGTCATGCACCCCAGTATGCGTGTTCAAGTGTGTGAATTCACTCTGTTCAAAAGGGACCAAGCTATGCTGCCCATCAGTCTCCCAAGAAGGCAGGTTCTTTTGGTGTGCGGGTTTGGACTACTGAACCTATAGTGGGTGTTCCATGCGTTTACTCACTCAAAGTTAGCTCTCTCTCTTCAGCAATATAGTTCCAAGGAAAGGAATTAGGGTTTCAATCTAGACATAATAGTTCTCGTGAGCAAGAAATTTCTAAGCAGGATCACTCCTATGCGATTGTAATTGTTTGAAAGTGATAGCAAGCAATTGCTTAAAATTCTTGAATTCATTGCACATTGCTCGTAAAATCCTTACATATGAACATATGACAAATCCGATGGTAGACGTAAGGTGGGTTCCCTTTGCATTAACAACCGTTTATCAGAAAAAAAACAAGAAATTGAAGAAATCCAAGAGACATCACCTCAAGAACATGAACAGATAATGACAATGATGAGAAAAATAATGCCCCACAAAGAACAGTTGAACAAGAGCAAGTATAAAGTAAAGAGTGACTAACAGCTGGTGAGGTAGTCTTCAAGAGGGATGGTCTTTTTGTTGCGCCTCTCTCTGCCCAATGATGGCAGGGATAGCGAAACGAAGCCCAAAGGAAGCACAGAGATGAGAATTGCACACCTTCTCGATAAGGGTGGTCGTGGTAAAACGACTTGCTGCTTTATATGCTGCTGTGTTCGATTTTTGAAGTTGGGTTTTGAACAACAACGTAGAATACTATCAACGCTGAATCTCGCAAAGCTCTTCTGTAGTGAAGCCATGGCCATTGGAGCCCAAAAAACCAAAAGATTATAATAAAGCCGCCATCTCTATGAGAAGTTTCTATCCACTGCCGTTGTTGCTGCTGTGCTGATTGTCATGTACACCCTCCAAATGGAACCGATAAATAAGAGTCGAAATGCGCCTAAAAATAAAATCATAGAAATACCTAGAAATAGTAATCGCAGTTGCCGGGACCGAACCCGGTACCCCCAAGTGACAGGCGGAAACTTATCACAAAACTAAAACGACATCGTTTTTATAGTACCTATTGAATTTTTTATTAAACTTTTTCAATAATCCACACAAATTATGGAACACTGAACTCACAAAATCCTAAAAAAAAATTATAATCAAATTATTTAGGTTCCATTTGGTAACGTTTTCGGTTTTCAATTTTTTAAAAAAATAAAAATTGAATCGATTTTTGATTTTCAATTTATAAAAAAACTTGTTTGATAAACACTTATAAATTATTTTATAAACAACTTATTTACACCATACACTTCCATGTTAGTTTAACTATAAAAAATGTCTCAATCTTCAACTTCTAACCCAATGTAGAACCTAAAACAAATCAAATCTAACACAAAAACAAAAAATGGTAACACAAAAAATGTAAAGCAAACAGATTGACAGTAATGTACTTTTAAACTGTATAGTTTACTTATAGTAAATTAAAAAAGAAGAAAAAGCAAAAAAAAAATGCCTGATACTGCAAATAGAAATAGCATAAGCCAAGAATTTGTGGGATTTATTGATCCTATGATTTACATTAATTTAGGATCTAAAAAGTTAAAGTTGGAGCACATGTTGCTTCAAAGTTCAATATTCTTACATTAATTAGACAGAAAAAAGAAATATTCACAAACATATAGTTATGGTAGCTTGCTCTATAAAACTATGTAATTAAGTTCATACTAAACAAGTATTAGGGGAAAAGGGCAAGTTCTAAATTTCTCATATAATCACTTAAACCAAAATGATTCAAAAAGTTAAAATATATTGTATTTGACACCCTCTAAGATATTGGGTATTTGATATTCATTGTATGTGCAAATGTATAACCACTATGGTAAGCTGAAGGATTCCCACATAAATATGTAAACTGAATTGATCCAAGAAATAATAATTAGAAGCACAGTCCACCAGAATATAGGAAAAATTAGCAATAACTCATTTGTTATGAAAATATTTCATTAATTCGTCTAAATTACATGTCTATCAAACCCTTTATTGGTCCTGACCAAAAAAAAAAAAAAACCCTTTATTGGAGGCTAGGTAATCCCATCTTTATCTACCAAGACGAAGACCAATTACAAAAAATTTTATCCACCTATGAAGGAATGAGTAACATAGTTCTTACATTTTCCGCTACATAAATCCATAAGCTCAAATAATATTTTAAAGCATCATATGGCAAAGCTTTGGAAAGTATTTACTGGATCTATGGATTCCTTTTTTGAGTTAGAAAAGAAAAGTTCCATCTATAACAGTTGAATTCATCACTTGGTGGCCGGGATTCCCGAGTTTGGGGTATTCTGGTTTTTATTGATTAGGGTGATTTGGAAAGCTATATGTGACTCGTAATTTGATTTTACCCCCTTATTTTCATATTTTGTTACCTTCTTATTTGTGGACTTCTCACCCCCAACTATTCTTTATGCCATAATAAAGTTTCTTTGTTTGCTGATAAAAAAAAATATAAATAAGGATTGTGAAGTTATCGACCCTAAAGAAAAAGTAAATACATGTACCCAATTTCAACAAACCCAAAAATCTGATAGGTTTGAAGATAATTTCAACAAACCCAACAAACCCAAGTATCATATCACCAGGAATGAGTTTGTTGCTAGTTTGGAGATCTCAACAGATTAATCAGATGGGTTTTTGGTATTAAGTCCAAAACCCAAAAATCGAAGCTAAGAAAGAGAGATAACCCACCAAAAGAAATCAAAGATCGACACAAGAGAAAATTTTGGATCGAACAAAAAATTTTCGATCAAACTAATTTTTTTTTTGAAAACTCTAGATCTAAGAACTTACCTTGGGGAGAGAGATGAAGTTGTTGTGGACAACCTTGGTGAGAGAGCTTCAGATGAGAAGACGAACTGTTGGGCGCCTGGTGACGATGAGACGAGGGAGAGAGCTACGGATGAGAGAGCTTCGGATGAGATGAGAGTGACGATGAGACCAGAGAAAGGATGAGATGAGGGTTTAAATAATTTTGTTTGATGGTTTTTTGGTAGAAGGCTTTATTTGTTCCTAACAAGAGTTGACGGTGTGATCTCATTAAATTGAATTCCGTCCGTTTTCGTTTTTTTTTTTTTTTGGAAACGATTTTTTGTCGTTTTCAAAATTTGAGGCATTTGAAATCGATTTTAATTTAAAAAAAACTAAAATGGTTACCAAACAAGGTTAAGTTTTAGGTTTTCTAAAAAATTGAAAACAAAAACGGAAAAATTAAAAATCAAACCGTTACCAAACGGAAGCTTAGTGTTACGATTTAATGACTTTTCTTATTATATTTATATTTTAAAGGCAATTAACACTTCCACCGCTCACTTATATTTTAATTATGACTAAAAAAAATGCATTATCTGGAATACCAAAATATTTCTAAATTTGAGTAAGAATATGTTTGTTTAATGGAGAAGAAGACTGAGCTATTTCTTTTATGCTCCACCATAGATGGTATATTTAGCAAGAACAATTAGGCTGATTCAATTAGCGAACAAAAAGGGAAAGAATAGAGGAATTTGACAGATCTCCAATTTTCAAGTGTGTACTAAAAGAACCAACTAGATAGGGTAAGACAAAGCTCTCCAAATAGTCCAAACCCATGGCAAACTTAGATTCATCGAGGTTCCCCCAATGCATGGGATATCATTGATCATGTATTTCACTTCACTAATAGGGTTCCCCCACAATGCGTGGGATATCATCGACCATTTATTTCACTTCACTAATAGGGTTCATCTTTGGACTGTTGGGGATGGGGTTACTTTAATAGTTTGTATAAGTCTTTTTGTTTCACCAATAACTATTATTCCAAATACGTCATGACACGGAATTATTTAGACTACAAAATCAAATCAGATTATAGAGCAATATTTGATAAGTAATAGTCATCAAATTGAGATTCATTTATCAACAAATTTTTTGCTTTCATTTGAACTCATTTCAATAATTCTTTTAGTTGCTTTATTAGGTGCAATTGTTGTAACTCGTCATCAATAAATATTTAGAACTAGGAATCTAAATCAAACTTTATTCTAAGGTATTACATTCATTTCCCTTCAATTTGATTGTGGAAACACAAGACAGGAATTTTCTACAATAACACTGTAGACCAATTGAAGGGATGTGACCTAGTTTAGTAGCGCGTTGTTTTGGGTACAAAATGTCACGGGTTCAAATCTTGTCATCACTACCTAGTACTTCTCTTTTGAGTTGTAAGAGAGATTAATTAAGATCGATTCAAATTGGCCATACATAATCTTTGTATTTGTATGTGCAAATGCTCTTCAACTTATTAAAAAAAATCCTTGTAGGAGGATAGATTTCAATGTGATAGGTAATAGTGGTGTTGAAAAATTAGGGGCCCAGCTATCATTAATGGATGATGCGTCGGTGCATCGCTTGGTTAGATGCGGTAGAAAACGTAAGAGCGGCGCAAGATAAGTAAATAAAACAAAATTTGAGAAAGTGAAAATCTCAAATCCAACATTATATATCTGGAGAGACAAATTGGTATGATAATGTCATTTCAGTTTCATCGCAATCTAGAAGAGTGCTGGGAATCACTTGGAACAAACACAGGAAGCTGGCCACCTCGTTGTGATCTACCCTGCCGATAGTAACCTGACGTGGAACCTCTCTCAGGATAGGAAGGCAGTGAGTTGCCAGTTCTCGTCCCTCTGCTCAACTGTTCATCCACACCATAGAAAATAGATTGACCTGCCCATGTAAGCGGCTCTCTTCCGGATTCCTAAGAGGAAGAACTAACACTTCTAGTGGTTNATCGGAAGGCAGTGAGTTGCCAGTTCTTGTCCCTCTGCTCAACTGTTCATCCACAGGGGAACCACCATAGAAAATAGATTGACCTGCATATGTAAGCGGCTCTCTTCCGGATACCTGAGAGGAAGAACTAACACTTCTGGTGGCTGCAGAGACAAAGCGCCCAGCTTCTTGATCCCAAAATACTGACGACGACCTTGAATTTTCTGCAGCACCCAAGTTTCTACTCATTGGTACCCTTTCTACATCACTAACTGCTGTTCCATTTGCATCATTTGCCTTTGCTGACAAAGGAGATCGATCTACTGATGACATGTATATCGGATTGAAATGATCTCTATTTGAAGCCCGCTGCTGTAATGGAGGTGGTGTGAGGTTAAGGGGATGAGGGTTGTTTAGGTTACTAATGTTGTGGCCACACATTTTAATATCTTCCCTGCTAGCACGACTGGGAGGATATGAACTCTTTGAAGAAGATAACCTTGATGTTCCTGCTCTAGTATTTCTTTCATGAAATCCATGATTGGTACTGGTTGGACTGCTTCTGCCACTCACATTGCTATTGGATAAATGATCGGAGTCATACGGATGATGTCTGGAACTTACTGGACGTAAAACAGATGATGAAGCTCTAGCCTTGGCCCCTGCCTTGATTGCCTCATTAGAGTCCAATTTGGCAAGCTTCCATGCACTTATCAGGACTCGACGCTGGGCTAACCTTTTCCCCTTATCAAGAGGAGGCATTGAATCTGGATCAACTGTGGATGGCAAGCGATCTCGCTCTAGATGAGGGATAATTTCATATTAGTTATGCACTAACAAGAACGAGTCAGTATGGAGCCTTTATCCTTGGATGGTCAACACAAATATTAAAGTTACTGAAACATGGAGCATGAAATCCATGTGACAGATATCATGGTGCTTCCAATGTTAATAAAGAGAATTCTTTCCATCATGAAGTAGCACTTGCCCTTGAATAGATATATCTAATCACCGACAAAAGCAGGAAATATTTCCAGAAAAATAACATGAACCGGAGTTTGGACCAAGAGATAATCCAACCCAAAACCAAGTATACTAGAGCTATAAAAAACTGTCCAAAAAACTAGCAATATTTTGTAAAATGAAAATGTTGTATACAAGGTGGTTCCCATTATGTTGATTACACAAGTAGTTTTCTCCAGTCTTTTTTGACACTTTTCCCACAATACCACAAGTAACTTTAGAACTAATTTACCGTCTAAGTTGTTCTAGCTTCCTTTGTTTCTGGGTTTATGTAATGTATTTTCATTAGGTCAGCTAGGCAAACGCTTGCCAAATACACCACCCTACACCAACCAAACAAAATGAACTCTATATAGAAGAAAGAAGGAAACTTGATCTAAGTTAAAAAATCTTTGCTAAAAACCCAGCAGATGTTTCATGCTGCAGAAGTATTACTAAAATAGGCAGCAGTACCTGGTGGTCCATAAAGATTCTAGTAGGAGTACACCAAGCACCTTTATATTGCAAGCTCATTCCAAGAGAGCTTCTTCCGCTCATGGCAGTCACGACAGAACTTGTTGGTGAGGATGGCAAACTCTGCAGATCTCCTCCGTCCACAGAGGGCTCAGGAACTTCACTTTGGGTCCTCATTGTGACAACGTACTCATAGGTTGTGATACCCTGCAACAAAAGATTATGATGGTGTTAGCAGCCTCCTTTTGCCTTTCTATGTTTCCTATTCTCTTTTACCTGACGAATGAAATTTCAGATGGAAAATATATATCGCATTTGTGAATGCAACATCCGGCTACAAAGTTAAGGTTTGTTAAAGAAGGAACAAACCTTTCGAATTAGAATTATGTGGAAAAAGAACAGTTCTCCCAAAGGCACAGTGGCCAGAAAAGAAACAGCTGTACATAGGGACTGTAATAAGCACATACCAAAGTTGATTTTCTGGGGCAAAACACAGTAGTACCAAATGCAACCAAAATAAATTCGATCATTCTATGGAATAGAGTCATTAAAAGATCAAAAAATGGAATTGCAAGACTTTTACCAAGCCTTTTCGAGCAAGCAAAGTAAAAGAAATAGCAAAAGAAGTTGTTTTATTGAGGCCTAAAGTGCAATGGTACATTACATTCTCAGTTTTATGAGAACAAAATGAATATGTGAAACCATGATAAATTATATTGTCAGGCCAATGCAGCAGATGCACTGCTATAACACTGAAAGGTCAGATATCCAGTCTCTAATAAAAGAACATGCAACATTTTCTTAAATATATAAGATACACAATAAGCAGAGAAGGACATATACCACAACAGTAGCAAATGGGGGTCGTGATAATCCTTCTCCAAGCCTGTCAGTTATCTGATTTTCTATTGCCTTCCTATCAGTGAAGCATCGAACAAGAACAACAATGCCCACTCCAAATTCAAAAACAAGCTGGCACACAAATGCACATGCAAATAGCGATCCACAAAACTTATTTAGTTGGGGTTAAGGGAAGGAAAATGAAAGCTAATAGAATTGTTAAAAAAAATTTCAAACAAACACCCTTTTTAGAGCTTACCAAGCCAAGGCTTACAGCCATAAGGCACACAAATGTGATGTAATTTTTCCTCCCAACACAATTATTCAACCAATGCACAACAGTTTATCATGCCATATTAGACATAAAGAAAAGCAATCCTCTTAAGATTACAAAGAATGATGGCAAACAACAAACAAGGATAGCAGGACATGATGAATAGGACAGCAACAAAACTACTCACATCAGGAAGATCTCTCATTTAAGTGCAAAAAACAATCCAAGATAGTAATCATCTAAGCTACTCATTTCTTCAAAAAACATCCTCAGATATTTTTGAACATGATAATGGTTTGTTCATCTAATCACATTCTGATGCAAGACTAAACATATTAAGTATAAGAAATCAACCATGAATAATAGGTTTCCTTTAATAAAGGTCTGGGGTTAGGAAAAAGAATGTTGGTGGCAGAATTGAGACTGTTTAGTTATGAGTGACCAGTAAGACCTAGATTTTAGGGCTTAGAAGTGATGAACTTATAGAACTGTTGATAAAGAGATTTGGATTTTTTAATTAGAGTTTCTTAGCTCAAAAGAGAGCCTAGATAGGTATGTCTGGTTGGAGGGGTTTATATGTGAAATATTGGGAAGACAAGAAGAAGACAAAGAAAACCAAGAAACACTCCAAGAATGCCTTAGGCATCACACATGGGGTGAGGGTTTGCATCAGACAAACACGATGAGGCTTCAAAAGTTCCAAAGGTGCTCTAAAACAAATCTCTATTATGAATGAATAAACTCAAAAATCTGACTAATCTAATGTGAAATTCAGAAATGCTCTTGACTCCTAAAAAATCTCAAACCTTTATAAAACTCAGCTAGCAGAATAAAACACAAATAAACCATAAAATATGACTCAAGGAAAAAAATTAACAGTAAATTACGCAAGGCCACGAGTGAGTCACAATCTTGATAGCACCAATTTCATAAAATTTGTTGTATCTTTCAATTTTCATTTTACTTGAACATCTTATGGACTGCATCACATTCACTACACATAAACCAACAACTTGAGCATCTTAACATCATAAGCAGGAGAGTTGACTAGAAATTGAGCATTAAACTCACCTTGCAGTGATGATCAAACCCATCAACACATTTGTCACAGCTTTTGCAATGTTCGCTGAACTTACGAACCTACGAAACCACAAAAAATATTTACGAAATTATTCTCCTCAAATTCTTCGTTTGTTATGCATTGAGATCATACTCATTAATTTGAGGTTCTAACCAAGAGCATATACTCACTGGGAGAACAGGTAAAAAAAAATGGGGAGGCAAAGACGAGGAAAGACAGCAAGGGCATACGAAACATGATGCAACAGAATATTTAATAAGAAATTCTTCATTTTCTTTTGTTTGGTTCTTTCCCAAACAATAAGAACTAAACTTAACTAAAAATCAAAAATTTAAAGAAAAAAAACCAAGGGTTAACTCTGGTTCAAGAAGAGGAAGAGTTTCATACTCAAAAAAAAAGGAAGGAAATCAAAGCAAAAATAGTCATGAGCTGTATACAACACCAAATCAGTCCTTGTTTACAATGCTAAGGTGGGTTCCCACCTTCCTAAAGTGGGAAGCACAGCATCCAAAGCTTCAGCATACATCTTAACGAGTTAAAGGTTCAAGTGACACTTTTCCAAGTGTGATAAAATTATATTGGATAGCAATTATTTCTTGGGAATTAAGGTAAAGTTTAAATGGAGCTTGAGATCTAGTCCACATGCAGTTCCCACTAGCTCTAACTCTCTTCCCTTTCCCTCTTGCATCATATATCATGAGCAACAAGCTCAGGTTCCAGGTAAAAACATGTAAACATCGAGATAATCAAGAGTAATTCAAAGCAGGTATTTAATATATTCTTGATCTTTTATAAATTTATTCTTCTGGCGGCCCGTAGGTCTAGGCTGGAGAGGATAGGTTAGGGGTTTTGTGTTAGCGACATTTGATGGTGTCCTCCCAATTGAGTTTCCCAACAGAAAATCACTTGATTTTTGAATCTTGAAAATAAAACCATTACAATAAGATTTAAAATCTGTCAACTACCTTTAACCAATAACATATACGACATATGATTCAAAACCTTTTTCAGTAAATTTTACCTCAGCATTGCACAATGTGCAGAACAAAGCATCTTCTTCTCCAGTTTGTTGAGCAAAAAGATCTTCACCTTTTCGGCAATCTTCCCACGCAAAAAAATCACAAACAANTACTCATAGGTTGTGATACCCTGCAACAAAAGATTATGATGGTGTTAGCAGCCTCCTTTTGCCTTTCTATGTTTCCTATTCTCTTTTACCTGACGAATGAAATTTCAGATGGAAAATATATATCGCATTTGTGAATGCAACATCCGGCTACAAAGTTAAGGTTTGTTAAAGAAGGAACAAACCTTTCGAATTAGAATTATGTGGAAAAAGAACAGTTCTCCCAAAGGCACAGTGGCCAGAAAAGAAACAGCTGTACATAGGGACTGTAATAAGCACATACCAAAGTTGATTTTCTGGGGCAAAACACAGTAGTACCAAATGCAACCAAAATAAATTCGATCATTCTATGGAATAGAGTCATTAAAAGATCAAAAAATGGAATTGCAAGACTTTTACCAAGCCTTTTCGAGCAAGCAAAGTAAAAGAAATAGCAAAAGAAGTTGTTTTATTGAGGCCTAAAGTGCAATGGTACATTACATTCTCAGTTTTATGAGAACAAAATGAATATGTGAAACCATGATAAATTATATTGTCAGGCCAATGCAGCAGATGCACTGCTATAACACTGAAAGGTCAGATATCCAGTCTCTAATAAAAGAACATGCAACATTTTCTTAAATATATAAGATACACAATAAGCAGAGAAGGACATATACCACAACAGTAGCAAATGGGGGTCGTGATAATCCTTCTCCAAGCCTGTCAGTTATCTGATTTTCTATTGCCTTCCTATCAGTGAAGCATCGAACAAGAACAACAATGCCCACTCCAAATTCAAAAACAAGCTGGCACACAAATGCACATGCAAATAGCGATCCACAAAACTTATTTAGTTGGGGTTAAGGGAAGGAAAATGAAAGCTAATAGAATTGTTAAAAAAAATTTCAAACAAACACCCTTTTTAGAGCTTACCAAGCCAAGGCTTACAGCCATAAGGCACACAAATGTGATGTAATTTTTCCTCCCAACACAATTATTCAACCAATGCACAACAGTTTATCATGCCATATTAGACATAAAGAAAAGCAATCCTCTTAAGATTACAAAGAATGATGGCAAACAACAAACAAGGATAGCAGGACATGATGAATAGGACAGCAACAAAACTACTCACATCAGGAAGATCTCTCATTTAAGTGCAAAAAACAATCCAAGATAGTAATCATCTAAGCTACTCATTTCTTCAAAAAACATCCTCAGATATTTTTGAACATGATAATGGTTTGTTCATCTAATCACATTCTGATGCAAGACTAAACATATTAAGTATAAGAAATCAACCATGAATAATAGGTTTCCTTTAATAAAGGTCTGGGGTTAGGAAAAAGAATGTTGGTGGCAGAATTGAGACTGTTTAGTTATGAGTGACCAGTAAGACCTAGATTTTAGGGCTTAGAAGTGATGAACTTATAGAACTGTTGATAAAGAGATTTGGATTTTTTAATTAGAGTTTCTTAGCTCAAAAGAGAGCCTAGATAGGTATGTCTGGTTGGAGGGGTTTATATGTGAAATATTGGGAAGACAAGAAGAAGACAAAGAAAACCAAGAAACACTCCAAGAATGCCTTAGGCATCACACATGGGGTGAGGGTTTGCATCAGACAAACACGATGAGGCTTCAAAAGTTCCAAAGGTGCTCTAAAACAAATCTCTATTATGAATGAATAAACTCAAAAATCTGACTAATCTAATGTGAAATTCAGAAATGCTCTTGACTCCTAAAAAATCTCAAACCTTTATAAAACTCAGCTAGCAGAATAAAACACAAATAAACCATAAAATATGACTCAAGGAAAAAAATTAACAGTAAATTACGCAAGGCCACGAGTGAGTCACAATCTTGATAGCACCAATTTCATAAAATTTGTTGTATCTTTCAATTTTCATTTTACTTGAACATCTTATGGACTGCATCACATTCACTACACATAAACCAACAACTTGAGCATCTTAACATCATAAGCAGGAGAGTTGACTAGAAATTGAGCATTAAACTCACCTTGCAGTGATGATCAAACCCATCAACACATTTGTCACAGCTTTTGCAATGTTCGCTGAACTTACGAACCTACGAAACCACAAAAAATATTTACGAAATTATTCTCCTCAAATTCTTCGTTTGTTATGCATTGAGATCATACTCATTAATTTGAGGTTCTAACCAAGAGCATATACTCACTGGGAGAACAGGTAAAAAAAAATGGGGAGGCAAAGACGAGGAAAGACAGCAAGGGCATACGAAACATGATGCAACAGAATATTTAATAAGAAATTCTTCATTTTCTTTTGTTTGGTTCTTTCCCAAACAATAAGAACTAAACTTAACTAAAAATCAAAAATTTAAAGAAAAAAAACCAAGGGTTAACTCTGGTTCAAGAAGAGGAAGAGTTTCATACTCAAAAAAAAAGGAAGGAAATCAAAGCAAAAATAGTCATGAGCTGTATACAACACCAAATCAGTCCTTGTTTACAATGCTAAGGTGGGTTCCCACCTTCCTAAAGTGGGAAGCACAGCATCCAAAGCTTCAGCATACATCTTAACGAGTTAAAGGTTCAAGTGACACTTTTCCAAGTGTGATAAAATTATATTGGATAGCAATTATTTCTTGGGAATTAAGGTAAAGTTTAAATGGAGCTTGAGATCTAGTCCACATGCAGTTCCCACTAGCTCTAACTCTCTTCCCTTTCCCTCTTGCATCATATATCATGAGCAACAAGCTCAGGTTCCAGGTAAAAACATGTAAACATCGAGATAATCAAGAGTAATTCAAAGCAGGTATTTAATATATTCTTGATCTTTTATAAATTTATTCTTCTGGCGGCCCGTAGGTCTAGGCTGGAGAGGATAGGTTAGGGGTTTTGTGTTAGCGACATTTGATGGTGTCCTCCCAATTGAGTTTCCCAACAGAAAATCACTTGATTTTTGAATCTTGAAAATAAAACCATTACAATAAGATTTAAAATCTGTCAACTACCTTTAACCAATAACATATACGACATATGATTCAAAACCTTTTTCAGTAAATTTTACCTCAGCATTGCACAATGTGCAGAACAAAGCATCTTCTTCTCCAGTTTGTTGAGCAAAAAGATCTTCACCTTTTCGGCAATCTTCCCACGCAAAAAAATCACAAACAAGTCCCACAATTTTTGAACAACCACTTGAACCACACCTATCAGATTTTCCTCCATTCTCCAATCCGGCTTTGCTAGGTTCTTCACGAGAAGATGCAATTCCTAAGCACACACCAGAAAGCTCTTCAATGACAATCATAAGAACAAAGTCCTGATGTGTCAAAACATCATCTTACACTGCCCTTTTCCCCAACAAAGGAAAAATTGCTGATTGGTGGATTTATCAATAGGAACTTGCAGAGAGGAAAAAAAATCCATTGTAATCATAATTACCCATTTATAATCAATTTTTCTGGACAATCAGCTCAATGTTTGTGTTGAAAAATCTAAATGGAACATTCATTGGTGTTACCAATCGAATCACTTTGATAACTGGTAGAATCTCCACTGAACTTACTCAGTTGGTGGATTCAATCAGAAGGATTATATTTTCTCTAACTAAACCATGACAATGCTGCTAACTTACTAACCACGCAAATCTGTGTCATTTTGCAACCCATAAGCTGGTGTCTTGGCAGCTTCAATCAAAATTCCAGGATCAGCGGAATCAATAGTTGTGCATCTAACATAAAGCACAAATACACAGAGTGCCAGAAGTAAACACAAAAAATAAAAAATAAATAAGGTGAGCAAAAGATGGTGGTGCGATCTCCATACAGGGATTACTATTAAAGACTTCTATTATGCTTACCAAGAAGGAATAAACACCAATGGCCACGTATTCATACACGTCCTTCCCAAGAAATGGAGCAAAAAATGCATAAAAGGCAACAGAGAGTAAGAAAAATATTGTTATTGCGACAACCTGTGCATCATCACAAACATCAAGACGATTGTCCTACAAGTTAAAGCAAAATGTATGGACGATGATGCAAAAATATCTAAAAGATTATAGGCAGGAATGTGCCATTAAAGATTTTCTTTCCACTTANAGTCCCACAATTTTTGAACAACCACTTGAACCACACCTATCAGATTTTCCTCCATTCTCCAATCCGGCTTTGCTAGGTTCTTCACGAGAAGATGCAATTCCTAAGCACACAACAGAAAGCTCTTCAATGACAATCATAAGAACAAAGTCCTGATGTGTCAAAACATCATCTTACACTGCCCTTTTCCCCAACAAAGGAAAAATTGCTGATTGGTGGATTTATCAATAGGAACTTGCAGAGAGGAAAAAAAATCCATTGTAATCATAATTACCCATTTATAATCAATTTTTCTGGACAATCAGCTCAATGTTTGTGTTGAAAAATCTAAATGGAACATTCATTGGTGTTACCAATCGAATCACTTTGATAACTGGTAGAATCTCCACTGAACTTACTCAGTTGGTGGATTCAATCAGAAGGATTATATTTTCTCTAACTAAACCATGACAATGCTGCTAACTTACTAACCACGCAAATCTGTGTCATTTTGCAACCCATAAGCTGGTGTCTTGGCAGCTTCAATCAAAATTCCAGGATCAGCGGAATCAATAGTTGTGCATCTAACATAAAGCACAAATACACAGAGTGCCAGAAGTAAACACAAAAAATAAAAAATAAATAAGGTGAGCAAAAGATGGTGGTGCGATCTCCATACAGGGATTACTATTAAAGACTTCTATTATGCTTACCAAGAAGGAATAAACACCAATGGCCACGTATTCATACACGTCCTTCCCAAGAAATGGAGCAAAAAATGCATAAAAGGCAACAGAGAGTAAGAAAAATATTGTTATTGCGACAACCTGTGCATCATCACAAACATCAAGACGATTGTCCTACAAGTTAAAGCAAAATGTATGGACGATGATGCAAAAATATCTAAAAGATTATAGGCAGGAATGTGCCATTAAAGATTTTCTTTCCACTTATATCTCATCTTCCACACATTATCAGAAAATCAATATTAATGACAAAAACAGAGTAGCAATTATTGTAATGACAAAAAAAGGTCCTTGACCATAAAGTTCCAAAGGGTAATTGATCATAAAAGAGGTCCATGATCACACCTTACTTACACAACACAACTTCCAAACTAGGACAGGGATTGATATGAGCCCCAAAATTAAACTTCTACTAAAAATCTCAAAAATGGAGGGTCGATCATTCAAATCAAGTGACTTGTATTGATCTTTGAGTAACTTGGAAGAGATGAATCTGTCGTGCAATATACACAAAGTGTTATGTGAAAGAAAAGTCAAATATGACGAAAGGTTCAAGACATATCACAATGGAACAATACCAAGTGCTATGCAGCAATTCTTCGTCCAAGACTTCTCAGAGCCAACCACATGCAGAGTCAGACTCATAATTTATATATTTATTGGAATGGAAAGATCCAGTTGGACACAACTCGGCTGAGCCGTTGAACCATGCCACCAATTAAACATTTTTTAAGAAAATAGTATGCCATGCATTGATGGTGAAACAAAGTCCACAAGGAATTTTTTCACAAAAAAAAAAATATATATATATATATATATATATATATATATATATATATATATATATATACAACTGCGCACCATAGAAAAATCAAATTATATCAAAAGCATGTGCTTTCTGTAATAATATGATCTCTTTGGGATGGGTTTTGATATTCTTATCATTCCATTTGAAATTAAATTAAAAAAATAACATAATGAGGTTAAAGAAAGATATGCATTCCTCTAAAACTCAGGTAACCCAATGAATAGGATGCAGTCAAAATACCAAACTACAAATAGATAAATATTTTTTGACAGAAAAGTAAAACAAAGTAACACTAGTTTACTATATCACACGGATAATCTTAAAAAAAAAAACTACCTTTAAAAGTAAAAAGGCCTCAAATATAACCCACATTTCGAATTTCAAGTGATTACAAGGAAAAGGAGACCTAAAAGAATTTACCTGAAACGTGTGAGCAGGGAGTTCCCATCCATGACGCCTAGCCATGATCAAGCACCGAGTCAAATTGTGCCTATAAACCACAATTACAGTCAATTGACAATACTAAAACCCAATCCAATTTAAACGTAGAATGAGATTCCAATTAGAGTCTCAAAACTTCTGGTTCAGAACTGGTCGAGTTCTTGCTCTATCTTTCCGCCGACAACTGGCACCCAAAGTCTAAAGTGGGTTTGGTGAGAGTTTAATCTCGATTAATAAGTTTAAACACGAGTTCCATATGACCCATTAACCAGATTGTCAGTTATTGGCTCTGGAGTTCGATTTATCGATCAATGAGCCATGAAGAAGAAGAAGAAGCAAAGTGTCTGGTTTGGCGGTATTTTATATAGAACATTAGACCTTTTAAAAGAGCGAAATTTGATCATTAAAAATTTGAATAAAATTTTGAGTTACCCTTTATTTAAGTAAAAATTTGAGTATTCCTACATTTGGTATGAATATGAGTAAAGAATTAAAGGTTATTTTTAATTTGTTTTTACTCTAATTTAAATTTGAATAAGTGTATAAGTAAAGGATTGAAGATGCCTTAGATAAAATAAGTACACTAACGGACCCTAAAGTATGTTCTATGTGTTACTTTTATCTTAATTATTTCAATTTCGTCGCTCAATCCCTTTAATTTCTATTTGATCTAATTTTCTTTGAATTTTACAGCTAAACAACCAAAAAAACTAACATACCATTACCATTACCATTAAAAACAAACATAAAAGTAAACATGGTGCCCATGCCAAGCCATGCCATGCCATGTGAAAGGTTTAGCAATCATACCGTTGACTTGTATGGATGTCCTTTGGCTTAGGGAGCTCCCCGCTCCCCCACCCTATCATTAAGAGTTGTTGGTTTCTGTTTTGTTCAACTTGGACTTGGATTTCTGTCCAAAATGGTGTGTTGTTTTGTTGCAAATGCTTTAATAGTATTTTTGGTTATGTAGAGAAAAATGGAACTCTAAATTATTTAAATATTTGTTTTAAAGAGCCCTATGCTTTCTCTACCGTGAATTTTGAAGCCAAGAAAAAAAAAAAGAGAAAAATAACTCATTATATGGTGATGGAAGAAACAAAAATAGTTAGAGATTAAGAGCAAATCGGAAAAACACATCGCACATACATAACACTTTGACTTAGACTTGGATACATAACAACTCGTGAAGAACAGACTGGCCACTTTCTAATTTTTGATAAAAGCAAAATCAACTGTATGAGATTCTCCATTTTGCACTGGATGATCATTAGGTCTTCTTGCGTCATGCCCACCACGAACAGAAACATCGACTTCTGAGAACTCCGTATCAGATTGATTAGCCCTTGGAGAATTAGGAACACTTAGATTTTGATCTGCTGCATTGGACTGGTACTTGTGGAGCAAATACATGGGTGATGTACCTCGACTAGGTGTATTTTCCCCGCTCACAAACCCAGAACTAGAAACATCACCTGCTTCCCGCTGCTTCTTTCTCTCCCTGGCAGCTCTGTGCCATTTCTTAAGAGCCTTTGCCATTTGCTCCTCGAAAATTGCTTGCTTCATGTGTGATCCCATCTGCATCCATCGAAATTCTTCGATTAGAACCAACCCATTATTAGAAATAATAATCCGGTTGTGGCTGTGCTGTATATATAACCAAGTTAAAGATTTGAACATTTAATAGACCATGCAATAAGATTACTCACCTGTGTTACCAAGGCATAGAGAGGGAATGTGATGTAGCTACACAGAATATGAAGAGCTACCCCAAGGAAAACTCTAAATAATATTTCGTATAAGTTGTCGTGCAAGCATGATGTTATCCCAAACTCATACTGCATTAGTAGAAAGTTACCCATACAAACACATCAATTAATTTAATGTACTACTACTACCTAGAAGAATACACATTACATATATATTGTCTGACATGACAGACTTGTTATATATAATTCTAACAATCAAATTACATTACAGTCACTTACCCATGTCCATAAGAAATATGCCATTTGGAATGCATTCTGCACAGGTTCCAATCAGTTGTGAGATTAAAAATGGCGGTTGACATGTTCAAAGATACATACATATTTACTTGACATATTGCTGTAAGTATTCTTTCATTGCTTGATCCATATATATATATGATAGGGATTAATTAGGGGCCTAGGAAACTTCATCACCTGAAACAGTGTGAAATGGATCAAGTAGAGAATCCACTGGGGCCGATTGAACCAGAAAAAGTTGTTGCTTGGCTCTACCACTGGAGCTCCTCTAACAACAGTGGTTCGATCCTCGATTTGTTGTGCCATCTCCATGATAACAAGTTCTAGTTTGGTACCCACCAGTACAAGTGTCTGAATGCAAAAACATGTATAGAATGTTGTTAGGAAGTATTATATATGCAATTGCATCAATTATTTAACTGGAAGCGATGCCAAGTATAACTTACAATGAGTGGGACTATCGAGATCCAGGTGAGTATATACCAGCCTATACCATTTGTTTCAACATGAATTTTGGAATCATGAGCATATAATGAACTCATGAACGTGTGTGTGTGCTTATGAATACACAAATATGTATGTATTTCACAGAGAAGGGAGGGGGGGGGGGGGGGGGGGGGG